CTTGCCGTCGGAGGCGGTGTTGATACGGTAGTGGTAGACGCGGCCCTCGTAGCGCAGCGATATGGAGCGCTGGCCGGGGCTGCTCTCGCTCTCGCGCACCAGGAAGCTGCCGTTGATGCCGCTGCTGAGCAGGTACTCGGCGGCGTTGCGCGACACGGGCCCATGGTACCAGCTGTGCTTCTCCAGGCTGTTCACCGGCGTGATGTAGTTGCCCGGCACCCAGCCCTGCCCGTTCTTCGTCTGCGCCTCACACCACTCGCCATTGTGATTGTATCCCAGAACCCTCAGCTTCTCTCCTGGTTATAGACACGTTACAGTCAGTCACTCAATGCATTGGGCCGGCTCTACCACATCACATGTCAGGGTCTATTGCAGTGTTGTCAAAAGTACGGACTTCGGTACCAAGTCGAGACTGAAATTGTAAAAATGTGAGGCTTTGAGCGGAATCATAAACGCCTCTGATTGGCCGTGGTGTTCACGAGCTCATCGGATATGTCTGTGATTGGCTACAATGATCAGCGCTTCAAAGACATGTTGTAAATATACATCAGTGAGTCTCCTCAGCAAGCGCTCACACACACACACACACACACACACACACACGAGCGTTTGAAACAGGCGTATATCAGCGGATCGGTCCTGCTTGTGCTTTCATAAACGCTCACACACTCCCGTGCGCTGATCATCGTAGCCAATCACAGACATATCCGATGAGCTCGTGAACACCACGGCCAATCAGAGGCGTTTATGATTCCGCTCAAAGCCTCACATTTTTACAATTTCAGCATCGACTTGGTACCGAAGTCCGTACGTTTGACAACATCAGCCTATTCAATTCAATTCAATTCACATGTATCTGTATAGCGCTTTTCACATTACACATCATTTCAAAGCAGCTTTACAGAAAATGCCACATTACATAGTACAGTGATGAGTTATCAGAGGAGACTGTGAGTTATGCATTTCAGAAATGTATATATAAAAACACAGTTAGCTAAAAAAAATATTATTTAAAGCTGCAGTCCGTATCTTTTCCTCTTTGTCGCCATCTCTCTGTTCGAAATCTGTAACTGCAGTGATTGGCTGAATTATCATCTTTCCGTGGGTTGTAAATCGGCATGAAACAGCGCGGATGAACACAGTGCTTTGAGGCGAGTGCTGCTGTCAGTCACCGCGCTGTGGATACTGGCATACAGAATCACAGATTCACTTTTTGAAAGTTTGACCAACATAAGAATTTTCATAAGAAAATGTCTTCTGAACAAGTAAGTAAAATCCATTTTTGTTCTGACCAACTAAGGGGGAAAAAGCATTCGACATGATAAGCTTCGTTAGATTTAATCAACGCGATTTACAGCAACCGTGCAAATTATAGCCTACTTTGTTCTCAAATTGTTCATGTTAACAACATCAGCATTGCGTGACTAATGTTAAATTTAATGTGTTTTATGGTTACCTGTGTAGTTCAGAATTCATATTCTCCATAATAGCAAAACGAGAAAGGCACAACAAAGGAAACTCCATAACTGTGTGAATTAAGAAAACGTACTGTTACACGATTGAACTATTGAAATGTCTTACTTGTTCAGCAGAAAAAAGCCGTCTCTTCTTCCGTTTCGAACCCCTTCAAAACACGGAGTTCACGCACTTTTCAAAAGCCCCGCCGATGTTTAAATCCTTGTGTTCGCATGAGACGGTTTCTTTCTCTTTCTCTAGCCACCTTAAATCCGAAGTACGAAGTCTTTTGGGTTTTATAACTGCTGAATCTCCAGTTGACACTGATGATTGTTGTTTGGATCTTTCTGGATCCGCCATAAGTTTAATTATGTAAAGTGCTGCGAGAAAAGCCTATACATCTAACGTTAAACATCTCGTCACGCGCAGTATAGCCGGCTAGCCGAAACTCCTTCTTTATGTGTACGGGTGTGACGTCATGACGCAAAGACATGCTCGAATTTCCCGCGGAAACCCACCAGTACCACTGGAATTAAAATCATTATTACAAGCTAACCGTTTTGAATCTAGCTATGGCAAGCAGATAGTTTTGACCACTGGCAGAATATGTTTTTTTATATATAATTATTTTGGATTATTTTTAACTTAAAAAAGTTACGGAGAGCAGCTTTAAACAATGTAAGTTGAAGTAATTGTGAAGAGATGTGATTATTAAAGGTTGCTTCAAAGGTTTCCATTTACATGTTTTTTTGCATGAATGCATTGACCAATTAGAGGCATTTAAATACACACACAGTCAACTTTAATACTTACAGATCATATGGAATTACCTTTGTGCCAATAATACTGAACGTAACATTAAGAAACTAATGCAAATATAAATGAGTAAAATATCTGTAAAACTGAAAAAAAAAAAAAACGCAAGCAAATTTTTGGACTTTGTTTTTAATACACTGCATGTTTTGCTATTCTTTCGCTGATCTGAACTTACTAATGCGCTTCCAGACTTTTCATTTACGCTTCTGAAGTTTTTCGTAGTGTAATTTACCGCTTTAATCCTACACAAGGTTCATACAGATACTGTGAAATTAATTTCCAGGACTTTTAAAGCACTATTTTTTAGATTTCCAAGGACTACAATCAGAGATCGCACTTATCAAACAATATCTTTGTTTTATTTTTTTTTACTCAAATTACAGATATAAGCTATCCAAAATACAACTTACCACATATTTAAGAATATATATTAAATACAAACTTTATAATGGCTATTGTTGTTCAATAAATAATATTTTATATTATAATGTTGGCTTCATACTTCATATCCAGAAGCGCCTGATGGGGGTTTATCAGTTAACACTGCGTGAAAAGATTATATTTGTTTTTGGGGATTTTTTTTTACTATTTCATATACAGTCAAACCAACATTTATTCAGACACCTTCAACATTTCTCACATTATCACAGTTTATTCGCTATAGTTTAGAAAATGGTGATAAATATGATAAATCAGTGGATATTTGACTGGTTTTGTCCGTCCTTCTGTTAGACTCTCACACATGAATTATGTTGAATATCTGTCAGCTGTTAAATTTGACTCCACAATTAGATAATACCAGTTTAGCTCAACCAGTGACCAAGCAATGCTTCATGTTGTTCAGTGTGTGTGTAAAAAGAGCATTAGCGATTACAGAAAACACACTTCAGCAGAACATGATCAGCTCAAAGTGGAGGAATCATTTCTGCTCCTGAATGATTATAAATGTCACTGGTAGTCACTGTATGAAGAATATTAGGGTATAATATGTCACAGTTTACTTTATTTTGCTCTCCTAGTAAATAATACTAGTAAAAAAAAATCAAAAATGATATCTGGTGTCTGAATAATTTTTGGTTTAACTGTATTGTATTTAAATGCGTAAAGCACTTTAAGCACCTCTTCATAATTATGGCTGTTTTCAACGATTTTTCCAGGACTTTAATTTAAAAAAGTCAAATTCACGCACTTTAGGCACCCTGTACGAACCCTGCAACACATGAAAACGACACTCGTGTGTGCTGTGAATAGTGTGGCTGTGTGATGAACTGCTTGTGATGTTCCTAATTTGAAGGTTTTAGATAAAAACATCTGCTAAATGAACAGATGTAAATTAAATAAAAGCTGAGTGAAATATCTTTATACTGAATCATGCTCTCGTTATCTAATGAAGTGACGCCGGTTTTCACGGGCTGAATACAGATAAGATAAAGGAAGAGGAGAAGAGAGGAAGAATGTGTGTATTTCCAGTCAGTCATGTGACCGAACACCGGCTTCTCTTCTCTCGACTCAAAAACACAGGAGGAGGAGAAGTACTGGTCAAACGCACTAGTAATTATGAATAATGTTGACACAAAACAGTGTGTGACCGAAGTGTGTGAGAGCTCAAACTCTAAGAAGAAACCTTTTTGTTTTTTTATGTAATTAATGAAACCAGGAGCAAATTTCCGATCTGTGCAAAACATCAGGAATGAACATTATTAGGTTATACTGATACATGCCATTGTTTTAATAATAATAATTATAAACTTGAATTGTAACACTTTACAATAAGGTTCATTAGTTAGCATTAATACATGTATTAACTAACAGTGATCAATACATTTGTTACAGTATTTATTAATCTTTGTTAATGTTAGTTAGTTCGTTGTTTGTTCATGTTAGTTCACAGTGCATTAACTAATGCTAACAAATACAAAACATTGATTTTAATAACGTATTAGTAGATGTTGAAATTAATATTAACTATGATTAATAAATGCTGTAGAAGTATTGTTCGGTCTTAGTTCATGTTAACTAAAGTAGTTCACTAATGTTCACTAATGAACCTTATTTACTGTGAGATTTCACTGGTATTTGTATCGACCTCTGAAGTTTTGTCCTTTTAATCTTATAACAAGTATTCCTGACCTCAAGTATGTGATTCCAAACCCTAGTTATGAACATTATTAGGTTATGAATCTTGCTGACACATGGCACATTGTTTTTAATGTAATAATAATTATAAACTTTAATAATTAAAGGAGTCTGTAGCCGCGTTTTACCCTTCAATTACCCTTTTATTACCCAATTATCCATTACCCTTCAAATTGCGCAAATTGAAATTGAAATTGCAAATACGCCCAATAAAAACACGTCAATTTCGCAAAAAAGCTTTGGCGCTCGCATGAGGAGGTTTTTCAGGCCATTCGAGAAGGGAAAATTTCGCAAAACTGCAATGGAAACAGTTTTTAGGCATTTACAGTCACATGACGTAGACGGCGCGGTGTGTTTGGGCAGAAGACGAGACAGTTCTTTATAAACTCAAAAAAGACTGAAGAATTACAGGAATACTGGATCCTAAACCTCAAAGAAACGCCATAATCAAGACCTGGAAGCAGAAATGAGGAGAAACACCCAGAAACGCCTCATAGGAGCCGCTCTCAGTATAACGGGCTTTCCTTGCCATTAATGCTAGATAATAGGGGTGTAACAATACATCGACATGGATCGATGCATCGATCAAACGTCTAACGATACGATGCATCGATACCACACATAAAATATCGATGTACGGTACCTTTATTTTGACACACTCCACATCCTCGCGTAGCTTTTCTCCGCTGAAATAGACGCCTGACAAGATTGACTGAAGCCTTTGTCACAAAAGTACTTTCCACTGTCATCACGAGTTCATGTTTTACAGCAGAAACAACAAGCCCCGAAAAGTCTGTTTAGCAAATCAGTGCGCAGTATTCAGGTCAGGTGACACGGCTGCTTGTCACTTTGAAAAGACGCGCTAGCTGAGAGGAGTTTCGTCAAGCTGACTAAAAGTGATCGAGGATGGATTTCAGCGAACTTGATGAACCCGTGATATCTTCTTCGGGGCGTAAAAGTAAATTAAAAGCTGAAACTTTGTCACGGAATCAGCAGTTTAGAGGCGAGTGAACAGCTCTCTGTAATCACAACAACAAAGTTTGACAGGCGTCTATATCAGCTGAGGAGATTAGCGTTACAAAGATTAACCAAGTGTTTTATTATGTATCATAGCAAATACTTGGCTTTGTTTTACTCTGAAACATGCAATGTGGAGTTATCTGCTTTTGCCACACAAATATAAATATATATAGGCCTATATATATATAAATCCTTTCAATGAACTTTAATATAACAGAAGAGTTTGTTTCCAAAAACAGATAACTCCGTTCTTGTTCATTTTCATTTATCATGTTTTTTTTTTACTTGTAACAAACAACTTGTCAATGTCCCAATTGGGAGAGGGTGTGCAATTTTCAAAGAGTTTAATTAAACTTTCATGTTATATATATTTTGATGTATTGTGAGTTAATAAACGTAACCGGTTGTGTACACTTAGCACGTAATATGTAAATTGGAGGTGTCGGTGTGTTTGCAGGCTTCAGGTGATGAGTGTGAGTGTGTGTCCCACCTTTGGTGATGCTGAGAGTGTTGTCGCCGCTCGCTACGAAGTCATACAGCGCCACGAACAGGTTGGGGTCGTTCTCTCCGGGTCCCGCCAGCAGATTCTCCTTGGAGTTCCAGCGAGCCGCTTCAGAAAGACCCGGAGGCTCGAAGCCGGGCCGCTGAAGAGCTTCTGCACACACACCAGAGGTCAAAGGTCAATGCACCACACTGAATGTTGACATGCGAGGGTAATTCCCATTACGGTCACAGAACAATCTGACCAACGTAAAAGAAATATTTACAAAAAAATTCTTAAAGGTGTAATATTCAGGAGGATCTGTTGGCAGAAATGCAATATCATAAACATAACCATGTCTTCAGTGGTGTATAAACCCTTACATAATGAGCTGTTATGTTTTTATTATCTTAGAATGAGGCGTTTCTCTCCACACACACCGCGGGTCCGCTTACACCGACATGTTTCTACGGTGGCCCTGAGCGGACAAACGCGTTTCGTCACTATGTTGTTCTTCATGATAAGAAGCTGCTAAAGTCAGCGAGTAAAACACTGACACAATGATGAACAAGCAACAATAATATTTATGATAACACCGTTTTACTGAATAATCAAGTAAACATCATTTCTTAATATATCTTTGTAAAGAAACGTCATTGCTTAACTAGCTACTCTCTGCTGTCTCAGACGACGACATCACTTCCTGTCGGCCACCGTAACTTCTGTGGGGTGCAGTTCACCACCTCACCACTAGATGCGCTGAAACTTACACACTGCAGCTTTAAGTAGAGTTGGTAAGTTTTAATAACAACTCAGTAATGTTCAATCATCATGAGGTTAATTTCACAAGGCAAATTTTTTTTTAATGTTTCTGAAAGAGTGAAAAAGGCTGCATTTATTTGACCTTAAAAACTGTAATATTACTCCAGTGTAAATCAGCTGTTCTCTATGTGAATATACAGTAAAGTGTAATTTATTCCTGTGATCAAAGCTGAGTTTTCAGCATCATTACTCCAGTCTTCAGTGTCACATGATCCTTCAGAAATCACTCTAATATGAGGATCTGATGATCAAGACACATTTATGATTATTATCAGTGTTGAAAACAGTTCATATTTCTGTGAAAATCTTGATTCACTATCATTTAAAACAAGAACATTTTTTTATATTTTTAAAGAAGTTGATACTTTTAATCAGCAGCAAGGACACATTAAATTGATCAAAAGTGACCGTAAAGATATTTATAATGTTACAAAAGATTCTGTTTCAAATAAAGGCGGTAAAAACATTATTAGCATCTGTAATCTTCCATTTCACACAATCCTAGAGAGGTTTGACATGCTTCAGGCCATTCCCGGAGTTAGACAGCCGGATAGAGATGTTCCCTGTGTTGCACAGAACAACACGAGAGTCAGCAAATGAGGACAAACTATTACGACAACACTGGGTTCTGGTAGTAGAAAACTTTGATAAAGGAGTAAATCTTAGATAATGTAACTTGTCTTTCAGCATAGTTAACATGAGCTCATAAAACTGCATGAGATATTGATGATTATACAAGAATCGGACATTGTTTAACATTGTTTACATGAATTATACCGTTGTGTCGCCATAAACTGCTCATTCTTTGCTTCACGTCACACTCAGATCCATCACTGTGATCAAACACAGGAAAGACTTGCGTATTTCTGAGATAAAACATCAATACATTACATCCAACCAGACGATTTTCAACTTTTGCCCTGATAATTGTCAGTCACACTTGGTTCTTCTATTTATTTTCATTTTCCCCTTTCATATATCTTAGTAAATCACCAAATATCATCTGAAAGCTTAAACACGCAAAAATCTTCCTGTGAAACCATTGTTACACCATAGAGCGATACTTTAAAACCTTTTAGCAACTCAATATTTTTGTGATATCAACTTCAAATTTGGAACAAAACTTGCTTAGACATTTCTTTGGTTTTCTAGAGTCCAAACTATTTCGTGAAATATATATTTTGTATAACAGCATTATATAAGAACTGAACTGAGCTGGACGATGACATCACTGTTCACTCCAGAGCCGCTATATATATAAATTAACTAAATTAATAACTTTTTCACAACAGAAATGAAGCATCACTGAACTGACTTAAGCTGGACTGAGACGCTATTCTCTTCTAGAAACACTGTTGCATTATTCTCCTGTTATCTCTGTAAAGCTGCTCTGAAACACTATATAAAGGTGACTTGACTATTAAATAAATGTTTAGTTCAGTACATTTGCTCTACAGTAAACTTCTATACTTCTACACTCTTCTTGAGTGTTTTCTATAAATAGAGACCAACATTAGGTCAGTATTTCAAAGCATTCCTGAATTACAACTATGGTTAAAAAGATGTTGCCTGAGAGTTGAAATCGAACACACACACTCAATAAGATCATTCAGTAAATGAGCTCAAAGATGCATCCAAACTCTCTCCACACACACACACACACACACACACACACACACACACCAAACTGCACAGCTCAATCCAGACAGGAATCAGATTTCCCAGTGTTTTCTCCTCCCTCGTTTTTTCCTCTCTTTCTTTTCCTCGAGCCAGTATGTCTGGCTTTGCTCTCGCTCTTCCCCCTCCTCCACTTTCCAAACACACAGGAGAACCGAGGCCTGGGATTTTCACGAGTCCATCGACACAGACCCATCCGTGTGTTGATCCGAAGCCCGAGTTCGGTCTCAGCCACTCTGTAATTGAGCTTCTCACACACACACACACACACACACACACACACACAAACACAGTCGCTTACCTTCAAAGTAACAGCTGGAGGACGAAGAAAGACCTTTCTTGGATTTACAGCCCACCAATTTAAGACAAATTTCCAACATTTTCATTTGCTTCCCAAACACGTCCAAATCGAAAGATATAATCCAGTTAGTTTCTCTTTTATCCAAAGGAAAGTTCAAAAGAAAGTAGCCAAAAACATGAAAAAGTTGTGTGTTAGTAGCTCAAGTCACATACAACGCGAAGATGAAGTCAAACGCGGCTTTTCTTCATCTTAAACCCACTTCGCTCCGTTCTTCTAGCGAGTTTCCAAAGTAAGAGGCTCCATTTTTTCCCCCGCTCTTCCCGTTCTTCTGGTTTTCTCTGGAAACTAGGAAACTAGCCATCCACACGGATACTTCCCACAACCACCACAAGCGTGTAGGAGTTAAACGAAGCACTTTGACGATAGTGTTGTCTTTTTCATGGCGTATGTCGTCTTGAGAGACGGTCCAGAGGAAAAGCAAGAACTGATCCCTGCCAACAAAGAGGCCCTTTCAGGAGCGGGGCCGATGACATCACTGGCTCCGCCCCCCGGCTGAAACCTGCAGCATTATCTGAGTGTAACTGGAATCTGCCTTTGTCTTTCCGTTCCACCGGCCCCTCCTACACAGACCTCGCTATCTGTTGCTCTCAAAATGTGTTCAGGCTTAAAACAAAGGCACTGGAGCACAAGTGCACAGGATCAAGAGCAGTTATGCCCCGTCCAGTATGAATCCGTTACAAATATGTGACCCTGGACCACAAAACCCGTCACATGGGTCAATTTTTTTAAATTGAGATGTATGTATCATCTGAAAGCTGAATAAATAACCTTTCCATTGGTGTATGGTGTGTTAGGATAGGACAATATTTGGCCGAGATACAAAGCAAAGGAATCTGAGGGTGCAAAAAAATCAAAACATTGAGAAATCTCCTTTAAAGTTGTGCATTTATGATCGACTTGTGCTGCATTCACTCACAAAACTAAATGTTTTTTATATTTACGGTAGGAACTTTACAAAATATCTTCATGGAACATGATCTTTACTTAATATCCTTATGATTTTTGGCATAAAAGAAAAATCAATCATTTTTAACCATAGTTGGGTATTGCCACAGATACACCCGTGCGACTCGAGACTGCTTTTGTCACATATATTCACTTGCACTTTTAAATGCTCAACAAACTCGAGCGTTTGAGCAACCGAACACACATCTCCAATTTTTTATTTTTTAATTACTGAGTGTTTACTTTTAAATGCTCAACAATATCGCGGTAAAGAGATAATTATTATGGACACTGGGTCTTGTTCACTAATACTTTTGTGAATTATTTGCACTTATACGTGTACATTTTATATAACTGGTTAATCAGTGGATTATTTCTTCAATAAATTGGATGAAAAGACAAATATTAATGTATTTTATTTAATTTTTTTGTGAATTGCAATGATAGGATTTCAATTAAACCAATGAGAAAGTAGCGATAATCAGCGCTCGGGTTCGCTTCCATGAGCTGTCAGTCTGTGGGGTAAACTAAACGCTATTGGCGGTTTGAAAAAGGGGGAGGAGCCATTCAACATGTCCCGCCTTAGGTTCCTGTTTCAGTGGAAATTGCATCAACCCATCATATAAAGTTGTGCGTTCCAAGGCACTCCAGTGGGGCTTTAATTACTGTATTTTATTTAAAAACCTGCCCAGTGTTGCCCTCCAAACAATGATCTACTGACAAAAATAAAAGCGAATTGTCTACTTTGTGTTTGTATTTGGATCTACTATTTTGTCTGCCATTGTTTAGGTGCGCCAGACATCGGGATGCTTTAAAGCCGAATCGGTATTTAACAAAAAAAATGTTTTTTGTAATTGTAATGTATATTGTATTTATAAAGTGCAGTGTTATTTCACATTAGATTACAGTTTCTGCACCTGAACACCTGAAAATCTTAAAACACTTTATTTCAATCGTATCTTTGTTCAGTTGTGTCTATTCCTTGCGATTGCTAATTTTCTCTTAATGACTGAGTGTTTACTTGTCTTTAATAATGCTTGAAACTTATATTAGTTCGGCTAGTTGTTTTTCAACACCTCGTTGTATTTTCAAACCACAGGCAAACGCTCCTTGAGTTAGTGTTCTTTAGCAGAATTTACCGGTATATGCGCTGTGTGAACGCGGAGTGAAGATTACCGGTATATGCGCTGTGTGAACGCGGAGTGAAGATTACGGTATATACGCTGTGTGAACGCGGAGTGAAGATTACGGTATATGCGCTGTGTGAACGCGGAGTGAAGATTACGGTATATGCGCTGTGTGAACGCGGAGTGAAGATTACCGGTATATGCGCTGTGTGAACGCGGAGTGAAGATTACGGTATATACGCTGTGTGAACACGGAGTGAAGATTACGGTATATGCGCTGAGTGAACGCGGAGTGAAGATTACGGTATATGCGCTGTGTGAACGCGGAGTGAAGATTACCGGTATATGCGCTGTGTGAACGCGGAGTGAAGATTGCGGTATATGCGCTGAGTGAACGCGGAGTGAAGATTACGGTATATGCGCTGAGTGAACGCGGAGTGAAGATTACGGTATATGCGCTGTGTGAACGCGGAGTGAAGATTACCGGTATATGCGCTGTGTGAACGCGGAGTGAAGATTGCGGTATATGCGCTGTGTGAACGCGGAGTGAAGATTACCGGTATATGCGCTGAGTGAACGCGGAGTGAAGATTACGGTATATGCGCTGAGTGAACGCGGAGTGAAGATTACGGTATATGCGCTGTGTGAACGCGGAGTGAAGATTACCGGTATATGCGCTGAGTGAACGCGGAGTGAAGATTACGGTATATGCGCTGTGTGAACGCGGAGTGAAGATTACGGTATATGCGCTGTGTGAACGCGGAGTGAAGATTACGGTATATGCGCTGTGTGAACGCGGAGTGAAGATTACCGGTATATGCGCTGTGTGAACGCGGAGTGAAGATTACCGGTATATGCGCTGTGTGAACGTGGAGTGAAGATTACCGGTATATGCGCTGTGTGAACGCGGAGTGAAGATTACGGTATATGCGCTGTGTGAACGCGGAGTGAAGATTACCGGTATATGCGCTGTGTGAACGCGGAGTGAAGATTACGGTATATACGCTGTGTGAACGCGGAGTGAAGATTACCGGTACATGCGCTGTGTGAACGCGGAGTGAAGATTACCGGTATATGCGCTGTGTGAACGCGGAGTGAAGATTACCGGTACATGCGCTGTGTGAACGCGGAGTGAAGATTACCGGTATATGCGCTGTGTGAACGCGGAGTGAAGATTACGGTATATACGCTGTGTGAACGCGGAGTGAAGATTACCGGTATATGCGCTGTGTGAACACGGAGTGAAGATTACGGTATATGCGCTGTGTGAACGCGGAGTGAAGATTACCGGTATATGCGCTGTGTGAACGCGGAGTGAAGATTACCGGTATATGCGCTGTGTGAACGCGGAGTGAAGATTACCGGTATATGCGCTGTGTGAACGCGGAGTGAAGATTACGGTATATGCGCTGTGTGAACACGGAGTGAAGATTACGGTAAATGCGCTGTGTGAACGCGGAGTGAAGATTACCGGTATATGCGCTGTGTGAACGCGGAGTGAAGATTACGGTATATACGCTGTGTGAACGCGGAGTGAAGATTACCGGTACATGCGCTGTGTGAACGCGGAGTGAAGATTACCGGTATATGCGCTGTGTGAACGCGGAGTGAAGATTACCGGTACATGCGCTGTGTGAACGCGGAGTGAAGATTACCGGTATATGCGCTGTGTGAACGCAGAGTGAAGATTACCGGTATATGCGCTGTGTGAACGCGGAGTGAAGATTACCGGTATATGCGCTGTGTGAACGCGGAGTGAAGATTACCGGTATATGCGCTGTGTGAACGCGGAGTGAAGATTACCGGTATATGCGCTGTGTGAACGCGGAGTGAAGATTACCGGTACATGCGCTGTGTGAACGCGGAGTGAAGATTACCGGTACATGCGCTGTGTGAACGCGGAGTGAAGATTACCGGTATATGCGCTGTGTGAACGCGGAGTGAAGATTACCGGTACATGCGCTGTGTGAACGCGGAGTGAAGATTACCGGTATATGCGCTGTGTGAACGCGGAGTGAAGATTGCCGGTATATGCGCTGTGTGAACGCGGAGTGAAGATTGCCGGTATATGCGCTGTGTGAACGCAGAGTGAAGATTACGGTATATGCGCTGTGTGAACGCGGAGTGAAGATTACCGGTATATGCGCTGTGTGAACGCGGAGTGAAGATTACCGGTATACGCGCTGTGTGAACGCGGAGTGAAGATTACGGTATATGCGCTGTGTGAACGCGGAGTGAAGATTACCGGTATATGCGCTGTGTGAACGCGGAGTGAAGATTGCGGTATATGCGCTGTGTGAACGCGGAGTGAAGATTACCGGTATATGCGCTGAGTGAACGCGGAGTGAAGATTACGGTATATGCGCTGAGTGAACGCGGAGTGAAGATTACGGTATATGCGCTGTGTGAACGCGGAGTGAAGATTACCGGTATATGCGCTGAGTGAACGCGGAGTGAAGATTACGGTATATGCGCTGTGTGAACGCGGAGTGAAGATTACGGTATATGCGCTGTGTGAACGCGGAGTGAAGATTACGGTATATGCGCTGTGTGAACGCGGAGTGAAGATTACCGGTATATGCGCTGTGTGAACGCGGAGTGAAGATTACCGGTATATGCGCTGTGTGAACGTGGAGTGAAGATTACCGGTATATGCGCTGTGTGAACGCGGAGTGAAGATTACGGTATATGCGCTGTGTGAACGCGGAGTGAAGATTACCGGTATATGCGCTGTGTGAACGCGGAGTGAAGATTACGGTATATGCGCTGTGTGAACGCGGAGTGAAGATTACCGGTACATGCGCTGTGTGAACGCGGAGTGAAGATTACCGGTATATGCGCTGTGTGAACGCGGAGTGAAGATTACCGGTACATGCGCTGTGTGAACGCGGAGTGAAGATTACCGGTATATGCGCTGTGTGAACGCGGAGTGAAGATTACGGTATATGCGCTGTGTGAACGCGGAGTGAAGATTACCGGTATATGCGCTGTGTGAACGCGGAGTGAAGATTACCGGTATATGCGCTGTGTGAACGCGGAGTGAAGATTACGGTATATACGCTGTGTGAACGCGGAGTGAAGATTACCGGTATATGCGCTGTGTGAACACGGAGTGAAGATTACCGGTATATGCGCTGTGTGAACACGGAGTGAAGATTACGGTATATACGCTGTGTGAACGCGGAGTGAAGATTACCGGTATATGCGCTGTGTGAACGCGGAGTGAAGATTACGGTATATACGCTGTGTGAACGCGGAGTGAAGATTACCGGTATATGCGCTGTGTGAACGCGGAGTGAAGATTACCGGTATATGCGCTGTGTGAACGCGGAGTGAAGATTACCGGTATATGCGCTGTGTGAACGCGGAGTGAAGATTACCGG